ATTTCTGGGTGGTTATAAAAAAATAAGCACGAAGGCTAAGGCGGGAGCTGCGCTCCTATCCATTAATAATCTAGGTCGGAAAAGACTTCGTGATATATAAAAATGTGTAAACACAAACCTAATCAATCAGTAAAAATAAATGTTGAACCTAATTTAGTTTCGTTGACAATAATTTAAATTATAAAAAATTGTAATCGATTTATAATCGATAAAAAATTTAAAAAAAATGTCCATAATATTTCTGTCATAACATGAATAGCGTAGCGTTGTTGACTTTTTTTGTTTGGTATTGTTGTTTTTTTCGTATTGGCGCCTAATATTCGAGACATTAAGTGTACACTAAGTCACAAATTTTAAATATTAGAAATTGTTAATAATACATGTTCATGAAGTAGAAACTTGTGTTTTTGTGATATATCTGTGTATTTGTGTCTTCTTAAAACGTAAAAAGTAAAAACGTAAGTTTTTAACTTAAAATAATAGTCCATAATGAATAATGGACGCACAGTAATGACGGATTTCAGTTGTATGAAATTTAAAAACTTTGTTAATTTTTTCCTCATAATCTAGTGGTTTTCATTGATTATAACTTATATAATATTTAATTATTAACATTTCTCTACAGATTAAATTTTTTTTCTAGCTTGAAAAACGAGACGTACTATTCGGAATTTTTGCCAAATTTTTTACTGACCAATAGATATATAATTTGTTAAAAACATAAAATTATTAAAACAATTATTTATATATAACTGAACAGATGGAGCAATACTATCGTTCCTTGCACTCAAACTTTTAAGTATCTCTTTTCTCAAGTCCGTATGTAATCTGGGTTCTTTTTGTCCGTAACAGATTGGTACAATAGCAATGAATTCACGACAGCTGTATTTAGTAAGGTGTTTATTGTTAAGTTTTTTATATCACTTTATAGATTTTCTTAGAGGTGTGTTAGATCGGAAAGATCTATTGTTCCTGTAGCGTTGTTTAAATAATCACTATTTTAGGTTTTGAGATAAATTTGCCGCATTTTCCGAAATTTTTAGACTGCAGGAGAGAAATACTAAAATTTTAAACTGTTTGATTTAAAATTGTAATATTTTTCTCCTGACCCGCTATTACATCACTGTAACCCCATCATTGCCGTCACCACATCCTTGGGAAGGTGCTTTCGGTTTTTGCCGATAGTACCCACGTTTTCAAAAAAAAAAAAAAATATTTTATATGATCTATTAGAACGTTACCTAGATCATGTAACAATGATTCGGAACAAAAGAAAGTAATCGAAAGAAACGATTACGGCTCATTATAGTCTTCATCTGGTACTTGTAGAAAATAAAAAACGACGAGAGATTTCCCAACCATATTTCTTACAAGATTCGGGGGAAGCCCAGAAAATTTAGTGTAAGGTATTATACATATTTCGTTTATTGCTTTGAGACGAGAAATACTGCGAAGACACACCTGTCGATGGACAGTTTTTCGAAGTGAAATATGAAGCAGTCTCATTTTCATCGTCACTAGTATTTATTCTACAAAACCGCTGGTATCTCGGCGCTCAAATACATTCTTAAATGAATAGTTCATTTTTTATATTTAATAAAGACAAAAAGACGCGCGAAATAGTGGCGTGGTCGACAACGTGACCGCATGGCCCAGCAGTAAACTAAAATGGATTTGCTTCGGCATGGGCCATGGGGGTCACCCGTGAGTGACATTCAATATTAGTCTGGTTTTTCATCCCAATCGGTCATATCTTTAATTTAATGCAATTTATTACTATAATTCTATCAATTAAAGACAAAAAACAATGTTCTAATTTTTGACCAAACTATAAAATTTCGTGTGGCCCATGCATAAAGTTAACTGCCAGCACATGGTGTCCCCCATGGCGTTTAACGTGTTAAGGTAGGTAAACAGGATGTACACAACCAGCAATAATAATTGTGACTGAATCAATTGTTGTTGATTGTGTTGATAGACTGGGAAGAGAGAGAAGAGAAAAGCAGCCGCCATATTGTTAAAAGCATGCCAGCCATCCTCCACGAGTATTAAAACAGGACATAATGGTAATGATAATAGAAGTAAACAAGTGGTGCACTTAGTATAGTTCAATATTCTCTAGTTAGGAGTAAACAGCATTTAAAAGAGAAAATATACCAAATACATACACAGATTATTTTTTTGTTTTAACTTTAAATTTAACAAAAAAAAAACATTAATCTTATTCCATTTAAAATAACCCAGAACATATACATGTCCCTGATAAAAATTGTTGGTTGCCCGTGTTTTGTATATTTCATTAGAATAATATACAGTATTTATATAGGTTTGAAGGAAATAAGAAAACTTATCATTTGAGTCTGTTTATTTTCGTAAAATACAACATCGATTTAAAATTGTGGAAAACATCAGATCAACATTAAGCTGCCTCTGAAAGAGCACTACAATTATTATGCACGAGAAGTAATGAGATGTACTACTGTTTTGTTCCATTAACTATTAAATATTATGATACAAATTCTAAATATTCCGTAAATTAGCAGGATATAGAAAATTTTACAGTAATTTTAAAATGAACAGTCATTTTAAAATTGTGTTATTTGGGCGCATATTTTATGTGCATCGTAATATCAATTTAATATTTGTTTTCTTTAAACCAATTTTAGTCTTCAAGGGAATTATTCATTGGCTATTAGATATTAAGAAAAGAAGCAGGTAGCTCTTCAACTAATCACATTACAGCGGATTAATTCGTATCGGCGGTACATTTGATAAGCATAAATAAAAATATTATTAAACTGAAAAAAGAAATGGTGCTATTACAATACATGTGTGATTCATTATAGTTTCTCACACATTCCAGGGCCTCACTGTAGCTTAAACTCATAAAAAAAATGTAAAAAAATAAGAAAATATTTTTTAAATCATACATTGAAAAGAACATAATAAGAACAGTTATTGCTAAAATGAATTAAACATATGAGTTTTGTATAATGTATGTTTTATAGCCAATTAAAACGAATACGTATTTAGATCAAGGCACTAATTATTTAGATCATTCCAGCTGTTTTTTGTTAAGGAATGTGGTTAGTAGCTAGAAAAATTAAAAAGTCAACTGAACTTACAACCTCATAATAACAATAAATCTTTACAAAATGAGAGGTCTTTGAAATGGAACAAAAAAATATGAACGAAAAACCGACTATAATAAATCTCAACTTAATAATTAAAATCTTTGTGGTGGGGAGAACACATTTAGAGTAATAAGAGTTTCTAGTAATGAAAAAATTAGGTATCAATCGTAAAACCCGACTCTTATTACAAATACATATTTTAGTGAAAAAGATTGAAAAATAAAATAATAATATGTACAAAATGTAGCTACTTTATTTAACAGAGATCTAATTGAATATTAGAGTGGTACTTTCCATATGACTTAAAATAATAATTTGAACATAAATTATGATTAACTTAAACTGTAAAGTATCTTAACTAAATAATAAAAAAATAAGGAATTAATCGAAAATAATTAAATCTTATAAATAATTTGCCGGTGTTTTGGTATAAATAATTGATAAAAGGACGCGATTTTTTATTGTCAAACATATTTTTCTTTACACAATATTCCGAATTCGAGAAATGTTCACGTGTAATAAACAACGGGGCTACACTTCCGCAACAATAAATTAACACACATGTGGAGGTTTACTTTTAATTTTTTTGACAAAGTTATTTTTATTAGAAATTAATACTTACCGAGTTATTAACATTTTTAAAACAAACAATTTTAGGACATCTTGTAGAACTTGAAGTATAGTGTAGCAGCGTGGACTTCATTAGTAAAGGTCACAAACCATATAATTGGGTGAATGAATTTAAAAGGACACAAAACACGCTGTTAGAAAGAAACAATCACGTTGAAAGGTTTCTAAAAAGCTTACAACGTGATTGTTACAGTCGCATAGTAGGTAACATGCGACTGCAACAATATAACAAAATATATAACAATATAACAACAATATACAAGTCGATAAAGTAAACATTATGAATGAATCAGTCAGTTTTATGGGATGTGACAAATTTTGTTTCTTTTTTATATAATTAGTTTGTTTGAAAATTATTTTGTTTTTCAATTATAGATTTTTAACGTTTATATATATATTTTTTTTTTATTATTGGCAAGTTACGTTAGAATTGAGTTAATTTAATGTCACGGTAGTAACACCATCACCACCGCTGTATATTTTTCATTAAATTTATTCATGCGATAATCATAAAAAAATTTTAGACCTAAAAATACCATTAACTATTTGTATAACTAAATTTCCAATTATTTTATAAAAAAAAGTATATTTTGACATAGATACTAGTGAGTATGACGAGAGATATGGTGGCCAGGGACCTTTTAAAAGTATAATTATGACTAGGGGAAGAGGAAACATAAGGACGGATAGTCAGAAAAGAATCTCTCTACTTAATTCCCGGATTACTTCAGGATTAGTTTTTACAAAGGTAATACGAAAATATTTACACCATTTGCAATTTAAAACACCGAAATTTATAGTTCATGAAAATAAATTTTCCAGTAGTCATGCGTGCTGCGTGAGCCTTTGATATGTTGCAATTTTCTTTTTCAAAAAAGCATAATGCAAAAGTAAATTTATGCAATGTAATAATACACAGCCGGCAGTTTAAAGTAACAATTATGGAATAAGCACGCATCTATATGCCCGCGATTATACATGTGCTTGTTACATTCTTATATACTTAAAAACAAATTTCCCCGTGAATCAATACAATAGTAACACTTTCACATTTCTAAATAAAATTTTGAGATTCAGAGAGCACAACCCAAAATATACATTACGATAGTGTAAAAGTCTGATATAGAAACTATATAAAAATATATTGACAGTCTCATTTACACATTTTAAGGTAATGTAGAGTATGCGCAGTAAAGTTATAACTACTATTTAGTTTCGCCTCTTGAAGGCGTCTTAAGAACGAACGAAATCCCATTGGTTTGTGGGAAGGCTATTACAAATAACCATGAACAGGGGTTCGCCACGAAATGCCCGCTCTGTTCCCAAGCACATGCCGGCAGCTGTATTATAGATCGGACTCCCAGGCTGCAAAGGGCGATTTAAGTAATTAATGCACGTAGATTTTTTTATGTGATAAATTGGCAAACGAGCTGGCGGTTCACCTGATGTTGGTTCACCTGATGTTAAGTGATAAGGCATATGAGAAGTAGAACTGTTAGGGTGTTTCGGTCCCGCCTTGAGATGAGTATACGTTGTTATCCGGCACTGTGACACATTAAAGAAGGAAGCTCACCATTCCCTTGTGCTTCCACTCCTGAGTGCCGCCGAGCTCGTGGCACTTCCCAAGGATGGGCGCCACGCCGTTAGTCGCGTCCAAGCAGAGAGTACGCCCCAGGACTAATTCGTGACGGTCAGTTTCGAACCACATCTGGAATAAGAAATGCGGAAAAATTTAAACCGATTCAATCATCATTACTTCTTATTTTTGTGATAATTTACAGAAAATATAAGAATCTTCGTGTGATCTGATTCCCCATTTGGATTCTGCGCAATCTTCAATTTTTTAATAGGTGGCAACATATGCGTTGCCACATATTAAAACATTAGGCACTAAGAGTACTAAATATACTATAATAATATAATATATTGTAAATTATCGAATTTTGCTACAGTTGAACAGTTATGCCAATATTTTACATAAAAAAAATCAATCAAAGAAGAACCGTAATAATTCTACGCTATCTGGTAAACACCGTATAGATCTTCAACATGATAAGTCGCAGTAAAATATTAGGACACTTGAGACCGAAAAATAAAATACGCAAACAACTTTAAAGTCCGGTAATGAAACTAGCAAGTTTGCATAATAATTCAAGAAAAACAGTAGATAAATGTTGATGATTACTCAGTGTCTAAAATGTTTTATTTAAATATATTGCCTTCAAATCATCTATTTACATATTAATAGGGTGTGCAAAGCAAGGTTGACAAGATTACCACGGCAACCTTACATTCTGATGTAAAAACAGTTATGTGAACATTTTGTTTGCTTACAAACTGTTTTCTATTAACCACACAGTGAACATAATGACTCATAATTCTTTTTCCATTTAAACTGTTGTTTTTGCTTTCAGTTCTTAGACTATTAAAGAAAAAACTCTGCGAACTTCTAAGCCAGAACTCAAAACCATGACGAGATAATCTCGCGTTGGTTTATGCATTTAGGGTCTAGCGTGTACTCGATCTGTAGAGTAAAATATAAAGTAACAACCTATATATTATGTCACTGCTGTGCAAAGGCCGCCGGGTACAGAGGGTATTAGGGCATAGTCCACCACGCGACTCCATTGCAGACTGGACGATTTTACATAACTACGAAATATTGTTTTAATGTTATTATTTCGAAAATATGTAGGTTTCCTCACGATGTTTTCTTCACCGCCAAACGCGAGATAGGTCAGCACAAAAAATTGACAATAAAATGATATTGATTAACATCGTATCGGCACCGGAATTTGAACCCAGATTGCCCGGGTGTAATAAATTAAAAAAGAGCGCCTGGACACTGAGCTATCTGTATTAAGACGGTCACAAACGCCCTTGAACAAGAACGCATCTTGTGGTATGTTGTGTTGATTTCGCCGTGTTCTTTTTTTTATGTGTGAAAAGTTTTCAAACGAGCAGACGGTTCACCTGATGGTAAGTAAATACCGCCGCCCATGGACATCTGCTACACCCGAGGGTTACAGATGTGTTGGCAACCTTTTGAAAATTGTTAGGCGAGGACGAACTAATTGGTTATATAATTATGTAAGCAATGCAACGGTACTGTGTCATGGGGAGGGTTCGAGACTTAAAATATTGTTGGAACCATCTAAACAGCATATTTCATTACAATTCAAGGAAATACCTGGTTCAATGTCCTCATGCAATTAGCCAGAACCAATCCGCTACCTTTAGTCTTAATGTCCTTTGCGCCTTGAACACATAAAGTTGAATTTTGCATACGTATCTGGAATGAATCAGTATAGTTGCGCTTCCTGTAATATAAATATAATCGTTTTGTTGTGGTTTATCTTTACAAAAACGGAAATACGAAAGAATAGTAACATAACAATAAAATAATAATGAGCGAGATGGTGATACCAAAGACTTATACATATTAATAATTTAGTCTCACAATTAAGAAATCTTAACATGAGCAAAGATTGCAAAAATTGAAGTACTTATATATTTTCTACATATTATTTGAAGCTCTGTCTTTTGATACAGTTTCAATTATAACTGTCGAGAAATAAGTATTTTCATTGAGATTTCTTTTACTCTCTATTTTCTGAATACCAAACAACTATATCTTAAATCTGGCATTTAAATTTATTTCATTTAGATATCTCAGTTACATAGTATAACAGACTTTCAGCTAAGGAAATGTTTAACGACAATGATTTATAAAAAGAAAAGTACAGACCTAGAATGCCACGGTTGAAACTTATTCTTTTCTGGATCATTAAGTGCAGCCATCCTCTTCTTAGCAACTGAGTCCTCACCAGTCTCCAACTCAGGGTATACATTTTCCAAGTACCATTTGAAAGATTTACAGTTAAGACGCTTTCTTAATTGAACCCTATCAGAGATATCACCAATAGGTATGTTCGCTGCCCTCGGATTGAGTTCTATAACTTTGTTCTGAAATTTGAGTCATAAACATTAATAAAACTATAATATTCAAAGAAAATTTAGGTACGTAGTTGTTACGTATATCAAAATATTAACAACATTGGTTCCTAGACCACACAATGATATGTAATAAAAATGTCATTATGGAGAAATAGTATCATATAACCACAAATCCTTATTTGAAATTAGCTTCCGTTTCTTTACATTCAGAACAATGCATAACTACCACATGCAGTTTTAGTAAAATATCATGAAGGATTATTTATGATAACCTCATATTACAATAAGAGCATGCATTGCTAATCAAAACTGATGTATTGTTACAGCCTTCGAACACAATTATGATTTAAAAGAGGTTAGAAGGGTTAATTTGCCAACCATCCTATGCCTCTGCATTTGATACAGTATCGGATATGAAGTCCACCAATACATCATACCAATAGAAATAAGTGATATGACTTAATTTTATGTGTTTTTAATTGTTATTTATAAACTAAGAAATAAATAGTGTAGAAAGGACAATAACAGTAAGGAAATTAAGTACTTACAACATATTCATCCATCCAAACCCTTGCCATACGCATAGAGTTATGTACCATAAAATCTTCTTTTTCACGGAGGGCATATGGTCGCCTTCTACGGAACACATGACCAACTCTACTACACGGAATGAGTTCTAAGACTCCACCACACATCCAAATCTGCAAATTTAAAATGTAATTAAAAAGATTATATCAACTGTTGCAACTGTTAAAAACTACTTTGCTGAATCTGGCTTAAAATGGGCAGTATATTTTAATCATGTCAGTTTTCGATATCGTAATTTATGGAATAAAAATTGTAAGAATTTAAATATACCGACTTAACAATTATAAATTTCTATCGTATTAGCAACTCATACTTGCAAATTAATTTACAACTCTTTTTTAACAGATCTAATAACAAAACAATAGTCAAAATTGATATATTTAGGACTAGTTTTTAAAAATTACATAATCCTAAGGATGCTACCACACCAAATTTTAAGATTGAAATAATATATTTCAAAATCTTCAATTATACTATATCAGAGATGAATTTTAAAATTCTGAACCTTATTTTCTACAGTTTTGTTTACTAACATGACTACAATTGTGTTACATATGTGTATTTAAAAGTGAATATAAACTTATGAAAAAGAAAATCGAGTAATTTCCACTAAAGTGAGTAATGGTTAATGAGGAGCAATTATTCCTTCTTGATTGGCGTGTTTTTAGTCGTGGTTACGTCGTGTTCTTACTACAAAATTAAAATACAAGGCCAGTAGCGGATAAATAAACATGAGAAATTAAAGAAAAGGTAAGCTTTAATAAAAAAAATTGAAAAGTACATACCCTGAAGGATATTTCTAAGTTTTCACCACCCCACACATGCATACCAGAGTCATACTTGCCAATATAATTGAAATACTCTCGATAAATTGCAAACAGTCCTCCTGCCATAGTAGGTGTTTTTATAGGTTTTATAAAATCTTCCTTCTCTGTGAAATTCATGAAATTATGACACGAAACTGGTTCTAGGGCCTTTCAACATTTCTCACTTTTGGATCCTTATCTTATTTTAATCAAAGGCCGACTTATAAACTTACCCTTGACTGTACCTTTAGGTAGATTATCCCATTTAAAATGCAGCCCCCAATTAAAGCCTCCTCTAACTAGGGGACTTCCGGTGTACTCAAATGTATCAGCATTAATTACATCTATTATAGGGACAACAGCCCGATGGGAGTAACGCACTGTTAATCCATCAACGTCCTCTGAGAGGTGTGACAATAATGGAGCCAACCAGTCTACGTTAACCTCTATGTGAGAATCCAGAAACACTAATACCTACGAAAAACGGTTTTAGCAAAATAAATAAATTGTTTTTTTGAACAATCTAAAAATAACAAAAGATGTTATGAAATGGTTTCATTAAACTATACTCTTTGAGTGCACTTAACCATAATATTAATATAAATATTCAACATACATCTATCAAAGAAATAGACATTGCAAATACAATTAACAAATAATTATAATACCAACTTCGCCCACACTGTTTTCGGCTCCATATAACCTAGCGCGGATGAGACCTTCTCTCTTACTAGTTCGTAATAGTCGAATAAGTAAACCAGTCCTTAATCTCGACATTACAGTAGATTTCTTGTCTAAACTATCAATATTGTTATCATCATTTATATAGTCAACCAGAGTTTCATCAATGTTATTTGTTTCTAACATTTCCTCCTCCTTCCTCATCATGTTGTTTAAATTGTTTACTGCTTGCACAATATTTTCATTTAATCCCTCTATATCACTAAAGTCATCAACTAGAATTATCTCTTTTAGATACTTAGGATCTGTACGATCCAGAATGGAGTGAATGGATCTCATTAAAGTCTCAAAGTGTTCATTATAAAAGCATATAATTATTGAGGCTTTTGGCAACTTCTTCTTAAATTCTTGACTGCGACACCTGAAAATCACCAAAGAAAAAAAGTAAAGAAACAACATTATAATTATGTAAAGTAAAAAGATGCTTACTTCTAATAGTGTTAAACCTGGTGTATGGAGTTGATGATCAAAAGTACTATATTAAAAACCATCAATACAGATAAAATTGATGTATCTGTTTGTAATATTCAAATAACCGCTTTTTAGTAAATGCATATGGACATGGTGGATACCGAAAACAACATTTTCTACACTCCATTTACGTTTACATACATTTTTGTCTGTTTAGTCCAGCTAATCTCTGAAACGGTTGTGCTGATTTTGACGGGGCTTTAACTGGCAGATAGCTAATATAATAAGGAGTAACTTAGGCTATTTTTATTTTAGAAATTTCATTTATGTTAAATTCCATGTGGACACAGTCGCGGGTGCAGCTAGTTCTTGCTTTTTTTTTTAAAAACATTGCCCTCACTTTAGGATAACATTATCCTGTGTTGTAAGGATGTTTTAAAAACATAAATTACACAAGGACAAACACCCACAAGGTGTGTGGGTTGCACAAATAATTGTCCCGTGTGGGAATCGAACCCACGACCCCCAACGCCGAAGCCAATACCTTGGCAACTGCACCATGGAGTCACCAAAGTTGAAAATAAAATAAAGTTACCCATACATTTTGTTCCTAGTATCAGGCAGGCCCCTGTGATTTCCAATCCTCTGTGATACCAGTGCATTGAATGCATGCAAATTGTAACCCTGTTCTCTAGCCCTTATATCTTCAATGTTACGTATTAGTCCATATTGATCTTCTGCAATATAATTTTTCTTTTGCAAGCATGGTATTAAACACAATGCTAAAGAAAAAGCATTTACATTGCAAACCCTTTGGTACATAATTATACATATACATCATAGACATTTAAGCAGAATTGATAACATACATAATATAAGCATCTTTGCAAAATGCAAAAATATACAATATGAAATGAAAGGTAAAAATGAAATGAAAGAAAATTGAAAAGTTCACTTTGAGCAAGAAATCATCTCATTGATCAATTAATCTATATATTTATATGTCTGAATACTCTATGATGTAGTGACCTGCTTAAAAACGATTAAATTTTAAAATTTTTTTACAACAAATTTACAAATAATTTACTTTTGAAATTGATAAGTAAGGAAATGTTACTTTTGTATATAATTAGCAACTACTATGTATAATATGTTATTGTCCTATATAATGTATTGTCTAGTGTATTGCTTCATTCTTATTATCTAAAACTCTATAAAAATCTATTATACTGCTACTGAGAAACAATGTTTTTGACGATAATGATGAATCTATAGTTTATACTTCATGTAGTACGTTTCTCATTAAAATTATGCCATAAAATGTGTGGTAGAGTGACATGGTAGTTCATTATGTAGTTATCCACAATAATTTTATAGCTAGCTAATTTTGCTTTATCTTATTAAGAGTGCCATATTTCAACAGCAACTAGATTAAATAATTAAATTTATAATTGTTAAAATAATTAGCAATTACTACTATTAGTGTTCTGACAATATGATAATAGGCAACTAGACAATTTTTTGATGAAAGCTTTCAATATTTCGAAGGACATATAATTTAGCCCTTCTCACCTAAACTTTTGTCAGGCTTAGCAGATATCTTCATTCCAAGTTGCTTAACAAATTTTTCTTTAAGCATAATCTTTCTTTTGTATTCAGAAAAATTATTTCGATTTTTCCATGCTTTGCCAAAATATTTATTGTTAACTGCGGGACTATCATAAAGCATATTCTTGCCTTTTAAAGCTGCAATAGACTTATCATTGTTTTTGATTCGGATTTTTTCTTCAGAGTTAACTAATCGGTAATGGATCTTACTTTCCGTATTAGTCATAACACTTTCTCCTAAAAGGACAATTTTAATGTAGTAAATGATGTATATTATAGTTTTGATTATGGTATATTATTATCATTTAAGAAATCTTTTAAATTTAAACAGCAAAAGTAAGGAGATTAAAAGATGGTCAACAGAATCATAGAAGCAAAATAAAATATAAATATTAAAACAAAATTGTTTAAAAACACACATTACCACATTGTTTAAATATGCAGTGAAAGAAATATTATACTTACCACTCATATTTAGCAACCAATACAGGTATATAGACACACTCCATGTAACTGAAGCGAACAATATTCCCCATAGGAACGAATTGTTAAACCTCCCCATATTCAAAACCATTTTTATTAATGTTTTGAAATTATGAGACATTTGTAATTACCATCTTTTACACCTCTCAGAGACACTGCAATCGATAGTGTTTAACTTTTAAATTACACGATACAGTATACACTCTAGCATAAAAGTGCATTTAGTGTTTACATTACATGAGATAATACACTCCAGTATAAATGTATTCTGTATGTATGTATCTATGAAAAATATGCGAATATATGCGACTGATCAAAGATTACTCAAAACTCGTTTCAAAAACTATTTTTTGGAATTGTTAAAACATTATTGATCCTGGCTTGTTCATATCATAGTAATTATAATTTGAACTATTTTTTTATAATACAACTAAAAAGTAATATAAAAGTATTATCTGCCTACGTAAGATAAAAATTTTCTTTGATAACCATGATCAGCAAATGATCAGTGATCTCAGATTTGCCTGCCTGCTGATTTTGCTGCCCTCCTGCCTGTCAGCTGTCCAGTGTTACCAACTGTCAAAACTATTTGTCCCTAAAACCTCCTGATAAAATAATATTATTAAAAAAATTATAAAAAATATATTGCGCAAACATTTTTGTCTTAATTACACATGAATGAAATAATATAGTGAAGAATATTGTGTTTAAACAAAAATTAGAATCATAAGAAATAATTATATAAATAAATTGTCTCTTATGATTTCTTTAGACTACCAATATTTTTACCGTAATTAGAAAATTGTTAGTCATAAGGGTAAAATTTTGAAACGAGTCGTCTTCGTAGGGGTCCGGGGGTGGGGGGGAGGGGGGAGAGTTGGTGAGTCGCAACCCCAACCCCCCCCCCCCCCTCCACCCGCCACAGGTGCATAGCTTTTTTTATTATGCAATTTTTGATTTAAGGCGCTGTATGCAGTGAATTTTTAACTATTTGGGTGGTGAAGTATGAGGAAGCGGAGGAGGGCTAACGCCGCTTAGCGGCGCGCAGCGCGCGAGTTTCGTCGACGCGCCGCTAGTCCAAGTCATTCTTTACCTAGAGTGTGTGTGTAGTGATGGGCCGCAGGATACTATTGATAGTATCATGGAAGGCTTTCGAAAATGTACACAGATGATCCCTATAACATCTTTTATAGACCATGATTGTATTTTACTTTTATATTATATAATAGGAATAATAATAAACAAACAAATATAAAGTATGAGAAAGCAATCAACAATTTTAGAAAATCTTCTTCCTGTTTATTATTATTTTTTTAATTAAATGGAAAAGGAATTAATTAAAAATACATCTTAAAGTCAAATAAATTAATAAAGGCATATAACTTATAATTATTATTTTTTGTTTTCATGGTTTATATTGTTATCTTAAAGGAATGGCTCATAAAATTTTTGCAGAAATTATGAATACAACTTTTTTGTTACATTTTTTTATATATTAGGAATTTTAATTTATCCTTTAAATGTTCAAGATTTACTATGTTATATTACTTTCTCAACTAAAGTGAAATTTAAAAAACTATCGATAAAATCTTTATTTGTATCGATAAACGACAGCAATTATAACTAGAATTTTGTCACCTTCCACAGAACTCGCGTAGCCTGTTGGTCCGAGCGTCATACACAACGGTAAACTATTGCTGTAGTCTCAAGTTCAAACCCTCATCGAGTGGAGTTATAGTTTTTATATTATTTTCACTTTTAATTTGTAAGCCAACAAATTATTTTGTTTTTATTTTATAAAATGGCTCAATTCGGGAAATAAACAAAAGTGTTCGGGCGACTCGATTCAAAACCCAACCTAGTGTAAGTGCAGTGGGCCTACTGGACAAGTGGTTGTTTACACTATAGATAGCAAATACAGTGGTATTCAAAGAGAACCTTTATATATCTGGTGTGATTTCACTGTCGGAATGGACGAGCAATAGGTACGTGCAATTTTGTTACCTGTTCAAGTTCAAATTCAAAATATCTTTATGCAAATAGACGCTTGCGCGTTGTTGTAGCCCGCTTGACATTCCTGAGCTAAGCCATATGGAGGCATCCGCGTATAGGTTAGCGCTCACCGGTCATAGGCCGCTTGTACTAGTCTCAGCCTACCTCTCGGGGAACAAAACCTTATTACAAAGCGACCTAGATACGCTACTCAACTTAGGCCCTTCCGTGATAATTGCAGGAGATCTAAACTGCATACACGGCTCATGGGACATCCACAGTATTCCAAATAACAACGGAAAGCATCTCGTTAGCTTATCCAATCATATAAGGCCGAATAAACCAGCCCTCAAGTTATCGTTCCATCAGCCTCCACAACTTGCCTGGGGAAGCTCTACGAGCGGCTATTATTAAACAGGCTCAATGAGCACGTGTTTTCCAACGGCCGCAACCTTAGTCAATTAACAACTCGACTCCAAAGCGCCGCCGACCGCCTTGGCGATTGGTTCCGCAAATGGAGAATAGACGTAAATCCAGAAAAAAGTGTGACGATTCACTTCACACGAAGTACTTACCCGTCACATCTTTATAATGGCCCTCGTCAATTCAGAAAGTTGGAGCAAATATCCCTTTATGGTCAACCGCTCCCCTGGGAGAAAAAGGTCAAATACTTAGGAGTCACTTTCGACTCGCGTATGGCATTTACTACGCACATTAAAAACATTCGCAATAGAGCCGCGTTCGTCTCCGGCCGGCTACACAATTTAACTAACACTAAAAGTAAAATGCCCTTAATGCACAAATTATTATTATATAAGACCTGCGTACGACCTATTATGTCCTATGCATGCATGACCTTCGCCCACACGCACCCTACTCGCTTCTACAAGTTGCAAATAGTACAAAATAAGTTCATCCACCGCAACCGGTGCGCAGTGGTATCAACGCAACGTCGACCCGCTCAGCGATTACAAACTCCCGACGATTAGCGAATATTTTAAAGACCTGACCAAACGGTTCTTCGATAAAGCCGAACATCATCTCAACTCTCTGGTGGTAAGCGCAGCAAATTACCAACCCGACACAAACGCGAACGTCAAAAAGCGTCGCTCGCGAAACGTCAAAAAGCTTCGACCCTCCGGGTCGATTAGGACATTTCGCGGCTGGGGGGGAGGGGGGGAGGGGGGCTTGGATACGTCCTACCCACCGCCGAGGGACCCGCCGGATAACACTACACCCACAATTAGTGCAACAACAAACACACTAGTTCGCCCTCGCCTCCGAACACGGCGAGACCAGCAGATGCGTGACCCTACACACAGCGGAGGACCCAACCCGTGGGTTCTGGCTAGCCCACCGGTTCTGCGTCAGACGTTTTAATAGTCTCGGGACTGAAAGCAAAAACATCAGTTAATACAAGATTGCGCGTTGTTATGACACGTCGAATTTTATTTGTTTGTGTAAGTTACCACCGGTTGGGGTGCTTTCGAATGCTTTCAGTTAAGAAACCGGCCAAAAAACTCAACAGTTTTTTAAAATTATAGTTTACAATATAATATGGTAAAGGTATAATAATTTAATTTAGCCTACGTGGGTATCAATATTATTAACTCCATTGACGTCGTCGAAATATTCCGCAATTTTTCTTGAGCCTGACACTCTCCGAATCGCATCCCGACTACGGCTTGGGGTTCCAGTCTGCGCTCCTCATAAATGTCCCTGTGGCGTGTGTGACATCACGGACTGTCATGCCAAAACAGTGCAGGCCGCTTCTCGAGACATGCCGCACTTAACGATATCATACACCGGTCGCTTACCACCGTCAACGTGCCAAGTCTACTTGAGCCGACTGGTATTGCAAGAGACGATGGCAAAAGACCGGACGGTATGAGTTTAATTCCATGGAAGATGGGCTGGGTGCTGGTATGAGATGCAACCTGTGAAGTGGCTGAAAAAGCTAAAGCTGGCAAATACAGGTGTCTAGGCTCGTCGAAACCTTGCCTAAAGGTACTCCTTTTAATAATATATTTTAGTTTTATATTATATAGGTTTTTAGTTTTTTAGTATTAGGCTACAGTTATATCATGTGAACATATTAGTAAATTCCGCAATGGTAATATGCTTTAAATTGGTCAGGTGGCAGACTTAATTACTACGTTATTTTATTACACATGCGCACACTGTTCTATAAACTAACTATTTACTTTTTGTAAAAATAACAAATTACAGGCCATAAAATCAATATGTTTATTTAAATATACAATAACTCATACATTAAAGCAACAGAGAAACTATTAAAAAAATCTATTATCCTACAAGCAAAAGAGTATCCGTAACGAATTTATAAGGTGGCACAACTAAATTAGTCGGCGCCGGGCCTTTTCGAGCTCGTCCTACGTTATCAAAATGGCTTCCGTGGCAAGGACAGTAAAAACCACCGGCCCAATCACCTGAATTTGCTACCGGGACACAACCGAGATGGGTACATATTCCTATTACTACTAACCACTCTGGTTTTATTGTTCGCTGCTCAGGCGTTTCTGGATCTCTTAACACCGAAAGAGGTGTCTTAGCTTCGAGCGCTATATCGGCTGGGGTCCTGTGTTTAACGAAAAGAGGCTTTCCTCGCCATTTAACCGAGACACACTGTCCAGCAGCAACTTTGGATATATCAAGTTCGATTGATGCCATTGCGATAACATCTGCTGGGGCAGCCATCGAATATATGTAATGAAGTAAATCGGCTTTTACTCCATAAGCACCGCAAATGAAACCAAAGGCTCCAGCTACGTAAGAAATTCCAATTTTGTTTTCGCTGGAATGCCATTTAGTCTTTTTCACGTCTTTGAACTGATTCTTCCTTTCTGAGTCAAAATTGGGAAATTCAATGTCTCGATGCAAATGTAATTTGGTCTTATGAAACCGTACTTGCGTCCAAAACATTGGTACATGAGTAAAAATTTTTTTATTCATAGAATTCTTCTCTCTCAAGTTATA